CAAATCTTGCCTTTCAAGGTTGCTTGAAACGTTATTTCCTCTCGGTCACTGCTGTTTAGAATGACTTCTTTGTTGCTCCGGATCTGTCCTTTTAAGCTTTCGACAATAATCTATCGTATGACCCTTCCATCCACAATAATCACACTTTAAATGGGCACGACAATCTTCAGAGGTGTGATTATCTTTGTTGCAACGAGTACATTTCATATCAGCACTCTTCTTGCTAGAATCTGGTCATTTTGCAGCAAAGGCAGCAGCTTCCTGAATTGGCGTTTTGCCTGTGGTGGTGTTGTGCTGCTTCTCATGTCGCAGCACAAGGGAGTATACTTTGTTGATGGGAGGAAGTGGATCCATCAACAAAATTTGATCCTTTACTGCACTGAATGTTTCATTAAGTCCCATAAGAAATTTAATTGCCTTTTGATTTTGCTGGAATGCCAACACATGTTGCAAAGTGTTGTAGTCGCAATCGGGTAGGCTAATCGCAGCATCTCTCTCATCCCACAACGCCTTGAGTTTGGTGAAGTAGGAACTTACGGTTATTGCTTCTTGGACACAATCATGAATTGCACTTTCAATATGGTATAATTGCATATTGTTTGTTTGAGAAAACCGTTCTTTCAAGTCTTCCCAAACTTGGTATGCAAGGTCATAGTAAATGACGCTTGATTGAAGTTCTGGTGATATTGAATTTACCAACCATGTTTTAACCAGGCTGTTACATCGATCCCACTGATGCAAGTTTGCTGCACCAACCTTTTGTTTTGGTTTCTTGAAGGTTCCATCAACAAAACTAAGTTTGTTTTTGGCTTTCAATGCACCGATCATCGCCCTACTCCAAGTGTTGTAGTTGTCTGGAGTGAGCGGCTGAGAAATGAGCATCATTCCCGGCTGATCGGAATGATGCAAGTAATAAGAGTGATTAACGTCAAACGTGGTTCCCTCTGTTGAACCAGAGGGCTTGAGTTTGTCATCGTTCTCTGCCATGATAGGCGGCTAGGGTTTGTTATTTTCTTTGGTCCCAAGATTAGTGCTCCGGTACCATGTAGAAAATCCAATTAGGTTTTCTATATTGATCTCTTAATGAGGTTTACAACACACACTTATATACATGAGTGCATGCTAAAATAGGTAAGAATAAGTTGACTTACAAGAACAGAAACTAAATATTACAATGATACTTTCCTATACAGCTGCTATATGACCAAATCTTCATCCTTGATTCTTGCAATCTTTAACAGAGCTTTCCTTAACCAGCCAACCTTACTTCGTAACCTTAGCCTCCCTTTCTTTATAGTTCGACTAAGTGACTTCGTAACCTTAACGTACTTTCTTTCTCACTTTAGCATAGGCCTTCGCCACTTCAAACAGGCGCTTCGCCCCCCTCTTTTTTTTTTTAGAAAGGACGGGGCTTAGGGTTTAGGGCAAAGAAAGCAAAGTTAAAATACCAAGAGCAAGATTATGCTATTAAATAAAAGAAAAGTGAGATCCATAGGAATATCTACAAATCTAATCCAAGAATGGATACCAAAACCCTAACTTTCTCAGAGAAATTTGGACAGAAAAATCATAGAAGGAAAGCAAGAGGAGAGATATACCGTAAACCCTATACCTGGCTCTGGCTGTAATTGCTGGTGATGAATGCTTGGGAGAGAAAAGCTTTTACCTTTCACTCGCTTTTGATTCCTGTAGCCACAATAGACATTCAGACTTCCTGCAAAAACCATTCTATTTCAAATAATCACATAATATCTTTGGCCTTGTCTTCTTAACCCGAAATCATATTCTTACAGGAAAAAAGAAACCCATGTTTGTTCCGGTCAGAATTTGCATTATTACTTGAGATAATCAAAGGAAAATCAAAATCTGTCTCCAACAAATTTTTCAATAAGCAATGAAATCAATTGTGTAATCTATGAGAACGCAATTAAATTAACAAAAAGAAATCAAGCATTAGACTGGTAAAATTAGTAGATGTGAAAGGATAAATTAAATAATAATTAAATTATGTTTACCAATTAGAGGATAATCTGCATAGATATTAAGGGAACAAGTAGATAAAAAAGGATGGATGAAAAAAAGTGAGATATATATATATATCAAACCTTGTTTAAAATGACGGGTTTTAAAAGGGGCTTTGTCCCCCCCACGCTTTGCTCTCTGGGATTTGATGTGGGTTAACAAACTATCAGATAAATAGTATGAAAACATTATTTACAACAAAATAATATTATTCAAGTTAGAGAATTATAATGACTATAAATCAAAACTCCATTGATGCAATGCAACAGACAAAATTACGATGAATAATCAAGAAACTGTTATACCTGCTGAAAAGACACCTTGCACACAGAGCACAAAACCCAGAACACCAACAACCAAAAAGGGGAAATTTGTGATATTATTCAAGGTATTAGGCACTCCTGTTAAAAAATCATGTATTAAAAAACACAATTGAATATGAACGCAAATCTAATTATGAGTCATCAAAGCAAATAATTCATACACAATTGAAAAAGATGTATAAATGGGAAGAGAACAGAAATTGAAAATATGAATTAATAACCCGATGGATTATTTGATTTTCGGAGAAGAATTTTTTCCGAAATATCAGATCTTCACCAATCTTTATGGTTGATTTTGTTGAACTCTTTATTTGGAATAAATTGAAACCACACACTGAACTCAAAGAAGACAAAAAGTGATTCCCTTTCGATCATCCAATTGTACATTGATGATATGTGTCATATCCCGGCCTAGGGTCCACCACATCCTGAGCCCCCTCCATCACCGTCGCACGATATTATCCGCTTTGGGCCCCGATTACGCCTTCATGGTTTTGTTTCTGGGAACTCACATGAGAACTTCCCAGTGGATCACCCATTATGGGAGTGCTTTCCCGCGCTACTCGCTTAACTTCGAAGTTCTAATGAACTTTGAAGCCAGTGAGCTCTTAAAAGGCCTCGTGCTAGGTAGGGATGGGAATATACATATAAGGATCACTCCCCTGGGCGATGTGGGATCTTACAATCCACCCCCCTTAGGGGCCCGACGTCCTCGTCAGCACACCACGGCCAGGGTTAGACTCTGATACCAAATTTTCACATCCCGGTGCGGGGTCCACCACATCTTGGGCCCGCTCCACCACCGTAGCACGATATTGTCCGCTTTGGGCCCCGACTACGCCCTCACAGTTTTGTTTCTGGGAACTCACACGAGAACTTCCCAGTGGGTCACCTATCATAGGAGTGCTCTCGCGCCCCCTGGATGTCATCATAGTACTTTAACCTTAATTTAGTTTTGAGTGAAAATTTACCAGAAAAAAAAATTAAAAAAGAATACATAAAAACAGTTAAATTAATAGTGCCCTATAAGTCAGAGCACTTACGCCATGAATAGTGCAATGCTACACCATCAAATTAACCATTTCATCTGGTAAAGTCTCCGGCTTCGCAACAAAACCCTACAAACACAAAAATTATAACCGCGATTCACACAGAGAGAGGGGTGGGTGTATGGACGTGAGGGAAAGGGGCTTTCTTGGTATTTCTGAATGCTTCACCAAACTGGTCTTCTCTCTTTATTTATATAGTTAGATGACAATTTTAAAAAGAAATTGAATAAAAATATATATATATATTAAAAAAAAAAGGGAAAAGGGAAAAGGTAAAAGTAGGAAGTGGGAGAGAAAAAGTGAAGGAGTAAAACTATGATTACATGTGGGTAAGGGAAGGAAAAAAGTAAAAAAAAAAGATTGTTTGTGCAAAATTACTTTAATGCCCATATTTTTTCTATTCAAACATTTTCTTTTAGCTATGTATAATAGGATATAATAGTAATTTTATTCATTAATGTAGTTGGATAATCAATTAAGAATTCTTATCTATATCAAAAAACCAAAGAAAATTTGGCTTCAAATTAAAGTCAAACAAATTCAATTTAATATTCGTTTAAATTAAATCATTATGAGACTAATTCTTTTTATTTATTGTATTTATTTTTAATCTATATTGTTTATATTGTAATTTACCTATTAAATATATATATATATTTTATTAATATTAATATTTATTTTATTACTATTATGATGTTATATTAATTTTAACTAGCATCTGGGCACACACAAAGTGTGAGAAAAAATTTTTATTTTTGTTTTTGAAATAGAAGGGGAGAGGAAGAGAGTAATAGAGAATGTGGGAATGAAAAGTTTTTTTATTTTATTTTTTATTTTAATTAGAGATATGTTAGGACAGTAGACGAAAAAAGCTCATCTATCACGGTGAATGCCCGTGATAAATTACAATCCACCACGGACACTATGCCCGTTGGTATTCTAGATGTGATAAAAAGTCTTAGTTTTTACCACAAGATATGCCCGTTGTTAAATGCAATATAACCACGGATTGTAACCGTGGTAGATTGAGATCTAACACCACGTACTATGATCGTTGTCGATTACTAATTGACCACAGCTAATGCCCGTTATAAATTATTTTCCAAAATTAAAAAAAAATTATTTAACAAATATATATTACCAAAAAAAAATAACTACATAAAAAATACTTGATAATATTATAACATAATGTAAAAATACTTGAGTTTCCAAATGAATACATAAACAACAGAAGTCATAAAGTAGTATCCATGTAGTGCCTAATGAATACATAAACAATGGAAGTCATAAAGTACTATCCATGTAGTGCCAAAGTACCATTTTCTAGTCTAAGTACGAACTAAAATTACTCTCCAACTCGGACGTACTTCGATGGCCACGCAATTGTACTAGATATAGCATTCTCCAGGACACGAAATTCACTTGTAGGGCGGTACAAAGATACATTCTCCACTCTGACAACAGTTACCCAAACCTTCCAGCAATCAGGACCAAGCACCATGTGATGAACTTTCGCCTCAAGATTTGTTGATTCTATTTCTCCAGTTGCAACAACTTGTCCATTTCTGAGCTAATTTAGTAACTTGCATGAAGACCCTCGTAAAATACCAACAGGTTGTAACTAGCATAAAGAAATCAAATAAGAACATCAATTTTAAATGATTAAGTTATCAAATTATTTAACAACTATTATTAAGCGTGTGTTACTACCTGAGAAGTGGCTTTAGAACCTTCTTTTCTCTTTATGCTGTCTCTTTCTATGTTTGGACTACTTCTCTGTGACAACCAAACATGGAAGACACAAAATTCGATCAGTTTATATCAAAATCTCATAAGTTTCATAAACTAACTAGTTAGTACTTGTTCTCGTATACCTGGGAACTAGCATTGGAAGCTTGTCTAGAAGCATCGTCAGCTTCTCGTGCACTTCTATCACATTGTATCTAATAACAAAACAAAAACAATCTAATTATCAACATCTGCTATGTCCTAGTATATCTGTACATAGAAATGGCCTCACAAAATAAAAATAATCTAATTAACTAATAACAAAGAAGGAAATTGGCCGAGCAAAAGAATACATAGTGAAACAACTGGGATTAGAGAATGATCAGTTGGTGGAGATGGGAACAATACATGCTGGGGACTTTATGGTGAGAAGTTTTTCATTTTCATTTAATTCTGATTTGAAGAAAAAAAACAACCATACACATACATCTTACAGAGTCACAAACATGCGTACATCTTACAAAAAATATCAGTTTTCCTAAGAAGAGATCCAGAAAAAGGTAGAGAAATTCGTGAAAAATGTTTTCATTCAATAATAGTCTAGTTATACACAGGAATGACCTCACAATTTGCCCGAACATAACCTTCATCTTCATCACCTGCACAATCATCAAGTTTATAAACGTCTAATGGGGTATATGACATGTAAGCATCCTCGTCAAACTTTCCCAAGTCATAAGCTCTACTTGGTTTACTTGGTTTCCCAAGTCATAAGCTCTACTTGGTTTATAAACATCTAATGGGGCATATGACATGTACTAACTCTTTGAGACAATCAAACATAGAAGAAGCTAAGTTTGGTTTACTTATATAAAAAATATAAATTCCACCATGCTATACTTGGGATCATATATGTACCTGAGAACTAGCTTTTGAAGAGTGTCTAGAACCATTGTTAGCCTCTAGTGCACTTTTCTTATTACATTGTAAGATAAATGCAAATAATCAAAATCAAATGAAACAACTGATAACAAGATAGATGCAAATAAACTATTAGCTGCATAGACTAACTAAGCCTGAAAGTGAACATGTTCATTATTTTCTTTCTATCTAATGATGAAGACATCGAGACAAGTTAAACAAAATCAGTTTCATACCTGGGGAGATGATCTGGAAACCTGGTAACTGGAATTGGGAACCTGTTTTACACCATTCTTAGTTCTTTGGAGATCTATACTGCTTCCCTGCGACTAGTGAATACGTAAGAAATAGAAGTTGATCAGTTTCAGATTCAACAAAATACCAATATTTACTTTTGAAACATTTTTACCTGGGGCCTATTTGTGGAGACTTGAATTGCATCATTGGTATTAGTTTCTTTACCATTTCCCTACAGAGATATGATTAGAAGTTAGAATATATTTCCCTGCAGCTATATGCCGTAAATCTTTTATCATTTTTATAAGTATATACAAAGTTGCACATATAATTACCTCATTTTGTTGTTTAGCCAACACAAAATCAAACACTTCCCGCAATTTTCCTTCGACGTTTTGTAGTCGGTCTCTAAGCTCTCGATTACTCATGCTGGCATATGTTTGGGCATCATATCTAGAAGGTGTAACCCCATAACCACCTCCTCGAGGTCGACCTCGATGTTCAGGTCCAAGTGCTTGTGATAAGGCATCACCTTTTATAGAACCATTGTCTGTTGTTGGCATTTCATTAGCCAACTTAATGTCATCCTATACAATTAAAAATCATTTGCAAGATTAAAAGAAAAATGAATAAAAAATAACACAAGGATAATTTCAAACTGAAGCTTCATACCATTTTCTTTAACACTATCTCATTTACAGGTTGACCATTTTTTCTTGTACGAGCAGCTATCCAAAGATTGACTCTATTTAAATCCTCCTCAGGTGTGCCTTTGTTCTCTATTAATTAATCCATAATTTAAACTCGGTATAAGTGTGTTGTCACTGAAATGAAATTAAAAGATATACAAATGTTCATACCAGCTCGTCCTCCAAGCGTGCATATCCTTTACGACTCATCACATGAGGGAGAGTATGGAATGATTTCAACTTTTTGAACTTCTCACTAATTGCCTAACAAGAAAAATAGATAACAAGAAACTTCATTTAACCAACATCCATGCATTGAAAACCTAATCAATAATTTAAAATTTAATACAAACAAGCTTACAGCAAACTCAGGAGAGCATCGATGTTTAACAAATTTGTCCCAATCAGCTTGTTTCTCAACATTATCAGGCTTCAAGAGTTGCATTTGTTCCATTGCATCAGGACCATCATGAAGGGATCTTATTTGTTTTGTCAATGTGGCTTGGTATGTACGCCAACACCCAGACATTTGTATTAATATTATCTTCTTACGACAAGGTGCCAAATTGTATTTTTGCTGCATTAACCATGAATCTTTATTAACATAAAAAAGATATTGATTTTTTATATGTATTATAGAAGAACAAAATAGTTAGGAAATAAGAGCACAGCTTCAGTTATAAATTTTACCTTCATAGCAGCCCATAATTTATCTTTCAAAATTGTAGGAACCTCATCCCAACTTGCGTAAGTTACTGGTATTAGTTGTCTTGCAAGGATCCCTGCCAACGAACTCAAACTCGCTGATCCCGCACCAAAATGTTGTCCTTTGTCATTGAATTGAACACCAATTTGTTTGGCCTTTAACACAGCATTATAATCCAACATTGTTGGACCTCTTCCCTTTCTCTTTTTTGCTTCATTCACATCATCACTTGAGTGCATCTCGTCACTGTCTGGCAAACCTTCAAAATCCATAGACACCTAAAAATTGAAACCAAATTCGTAGAGAGATTAACAAAGGAATGTTTTCTGTCCTAGAAGAAAAAACGAAGTTAAAGAGAAAGATTTCGCTGGGTAACCAAATGCAACTACAAGACCACTCAATTCATACCAAATTTATAGAGAGAGATCAGTGAATAATCTTTTGCATCCTAGTAAAAAAAAAAAACAACGTGAAGAGAAGGATTGAGGGGATAACCAAATATAACTGCACGCGACTAGTGGGAACTTTGAACGGCAGTTTCTTTGCTTCTTGGGTTTTTAATTAAGTTTTCTTTCCAATAAAAAATATATTAACTTTTATTATGATAATTATTTTACAATTATATCATCATTGGGACTCTGTTATAGCCATAAAATTAAAAGTTTATTGGGACTCTGATTAGGGGTGGGCATGGGTTGGGACTCTCTTATACATCATTTTTAATAAGGTTACAGCCGCTGCACTGCAATGCACAGCAGCAGCACATATTACACTCACAGAAGCTGTCTTCAAGAATTGAGGATGCACTGCAGCAACACATATTAGGGGAGTATTGAAGCATAGATTGTGCCCAGCAACACATATTAACATTATTATCCAAATCCAATCCAAATTAACATCTCCAAGACATCCAATGCAAAGTCCAAATCCAAAATAACCCAAAAGAAGAATTAGTGAATAAACCCTTTCAAAACTTAAAGAAAATTGCGGTAATCTATCCATGGTTCCTAACCGAGTGCAAATTATACAGTAATTGGTAATTAACTTACAATAAAAATTGTTTAGGGTATGATACTTATAGATATTTGAATTACCTTGTGGCTTCGAAATGGATTGGTCACAACTAGATGTCGCATCTTACCATCCTGACTTTTGTTGGTATGGTGCCACATTAAGTCTTTGGCCATGTCATCATCTTTATTCGCTTAAATCTTGGTATAATAGGAAAGTAGCGCAACACCTTTGCAGAAACTCCTTTGTAAATGTGATTATTACGTTTACCAACCTGCCAATGTGAAGAACCGCACTTTGGACATGTCTCAAGTTGTTCAAAGTCTTTCCAAAATAAGCAGCAATCATTTACACATGCATCTATTTTCTCGAACCCTAAATCAAACACCTTAAGTAACTTCTTTGTCGAATTCATTGAATTCGGAAGTGTATTACCTTCCGGAAATATGTCTTTTAGGGCTTGGAGGAGCTCGTCAAAAAACTTATCTGTTGCACCATTTGAAGCTTTAATCTTGTATAAAACTACAGTTGCTAACAACTTTGTCTACTTCGTACAACCTTCATATAAAGGAGCTTCAGCTTCTTCAACCTTTTCTTTGAAATTCTCATCTCCAATTAGCAAATTTGCTTTTCCAGTTCCATCATCTTCAGCCAAGACATCCCTATACATTTGATATGTTTCTGTTATGTTGGCATAGTCATGTTGTTGAAGAATAGGTTCTTGTTCACCATGGAACACCCAAGTAGTATATGAAGGATCTATTCCATTCATAACCAAGTGTTCATACACAATCGCAGGTTGTTGAAAACATTGGTTTTGACATATTATACATGGGCAAATGATCTTATCTCGATTTCCTCCATATTCTTTAGCTACTTGTACAAACTTTTGTGCACCCTCTCTATATTCTGTTGTTGGTCTGTATTATAAATAAATCTTAATCACTTTAAACGGACCCTAGTTATCAATGTCAAAAATGAAATTCATTGAGGCAGATAATATACCTCGAAAATGTTAGCCAATCTTTGTCCATTGCAATCAGATAGTTGACAATGATCGTTTCCAACAATGCTTCTCAATTCCAAATAAAAAGTAATCCTAAAATAACCACAACTCACAACTTAATGGCAAAATATATTAAAATATGATATATATATATATATATAGACACATACGCATATTACGTATATTTATTCAAGTATAACTTGTATCAACACTTAAATTACAAATATCAAATTAATACATACACAAAACCATTTGCTAGTACATACGATTCATACAAACAAGACACATAGAAACCATCTTCTTAGCAATCAATTTTAATTAAAAAAAAAAAAGTGAACATGCATTTTCTATGAATTAGTAAAGAGTTCATTTGCTGTAAATTAGCAGGAAACTATTATATAAAAAAAGTGAACAAGCATTTTCTTTACAACATTTACACTAGTATAGTCGAATTTGCAGTTTCAATTGATCGAAGTATTACTACTGCATATCTTTTTTCCTTGTATATAACTAGTTCGTGCTGTATACATACATACATACATATATACATATATATATACATATATATATATATGTATATATATATATATATATATGCGCGTGTATATATGTATATTAAGGGCACCCCTTCTTACTTTGATCACTGCTGTACTATGCACACCTAATTTCCAATATTACACCAAAACTTAAGGAAGAAGAGGTTGATCAACTTTGATGATACAGTTTGGCCTTTAAACATTGTACATTGTTTTTGGTCTGAACAGATTAATTGTATACATTTATTCTCTATTTATTCATTACTACATTGATAACATATATAGAAGTTCATTCTTCTCTTTACTAGTTTGAATGTTGTTTTATATATATGTAGCAGTAGCTGCAACATCCAAACTTTTTATTGAATTGGAAGAACAAAACAGTAAAAACACACAGTTAGGGAACCTAATTTCAACAGCAAGTGCTGCTCCATGACACAATCCTCGTAACATGGGGTTGATTTTGGGGCGTGAAATACAATCTTTTTATTGAATTGGAAGAACAAAACAGTAAAAACATACTTCTCAACTCAAATTTATATATTTACGATGATGATGTGAAAAATGTGTGCCTTTGGATGGATGTGTGAGAGAGTGAAACGCCGGAAGAGAAATTTGCGAGTTGTAAGCCACAAGAATGCATACACATCTCCAAGTTCGATGATCAATGATAATTTAAATGCTTATTCAGAACAAGAAAACGAAATCAAAAGATATAGGATAAAAGAAACCTGAGTGATGTAGAGAGGTTGCCATTGATTGAGGGAGACATGACCGAAGAGACGACCAAACCGAGACCGGCCGGAGACGGAAGAGATGGAGAAATAAAAGGATTGACGTTTTCTTTTTAGGGTTTTCTTCCGGTTTCATGCGAAGGGAAATAATTGGGATTTTAGATTTTAATATCCTCCGAAATATTAAAAAAGTAAAATAAAATAAAATAAAATAAAAATAAAAAAAACCCACCAGGGCAAATGGCGTGGTGAATTTTCAAAGGGCAGTATGGTCGTTTGAAGTAACCACAACGAGCATATTGCGTGGTGGTTTTGATAATCCATCATGGGATTAAAAACCGTTGTAGATTATTCACTTTTAACAATGGGCCAGAATCTGACCATGGTGAATTAATGTTATCTACCACGAGCCACATATAACCGTGGTAATTGAATAGTTTCTACCATGGGATGTTGATGCCCGTGATGGAATTGATGTGGTAAATATGCTGTTATGTACTAGTGGGATTACATATAGGTGAGGCTTTAAAAAAAAAACAGCAAAATTTGGTTGTGTGAAATTCCATTTCTGTCCCATATTTCTTATTCATGTTCTGTTTTAATTGGAGGGTTAAATTGGTAATTTCATAAGATTTTGGTTAACAATGAGTGTTTTATTAACTAGTAGAGATTATTTATCATTTTTATAACTTATAAATCTTATAAATAAATTCCATGAAAGAATTTGGAGTAATTAATGAAGAAAATGTTGCAGAATCAAAAGTGGCAGTCTACGGTCAAATGAATGAACCACCAAGAGCTCACGTAAACAATCTGAATGAGAAGAATATTCATAATACGTACGATGTCTTACCATGTTGACGAAAAATTAAACTTGAGACAAAATCTTGCAATACTCATCCAGATACTCTGGAGAATGAAGGGGTCATTACTGTACTCCAGGCCCTCATGCTCCACGTCCTCCTCGTCCTCCCAATCGTATGTAGTCACATATCTGTTTTTTGTAGGGACTTAAATAGAATTGAGTATGTCACGTAGTCCATAGTCGTACCTTCTCCTAAGCCATTGTTTTCAACCGGCTTCAGCACCACATGGGCATAGAAATCGGCAACGTGCCATTCTCCCAACAAAAGCTCTTCAAATGAGACTTCCTTATCTTCTGATGAGAAACTGTCGGTGGTTCGTCCAAAGTAGAAGCTAATGCAGAAGACAAGGCCTTTAGATCCAGATGAGATGAGCGCAAGGGATCCAGGCGGTAAAATTAATTAGGAAAGTACAACTCTTTTGAAGACTTGGTCATTTTTTGCCAACAGTTTGGTGAGCTTGGAAGTCCGAGATAGATGTTCAATAAATTGTATGATAAACCTAGTTTGGATAAATCTCTACACCCTAACGAAAGGTCCACGTCAGCACCACCAATTCAACCACAACCTTCCCGCTGCAATCTGCAACCGAAAGGATCATAACAACACAGTCCATTACCTGCACAACTCTCTCAACTATGTTTGTATCTCATTCAAACTGTTTGTATTTATCTTTCTGATTCAAATGTTTATCAAGTGTAACAACCTTATCATTTGTAACTCTATATAAAGAAGTGAATGAATACTCACTCGATATTGAGTTGAGTTTATACAATTCATCAACCTGCTATACCTTTGCCTTTAGTTTTCCTTCATGGTATCTCAGAGCTGACAGTCTAACGACCAAAAGCTTTATTTTTTATTTTTTATTTTTTTCTCTCTCATGGCGTCCAGTTCAAGTCCCTCCCATCTCTCTCTTCCAAATGCTTCCAACTTTCTGACTATCAAGTTGGATCGTACCAACTATCCCCTATGGCATGCCCAGATGTTGCCCTTGCTTCGCAGCAGGAATCTGGTGTCTTTTGTCGATGGAACCAACCCATGTCCTCCTGCCTTCTTGAAGGACGATGCCGGCCAACTCACTGATAAAACCAATCCTGACTTTGATGCATGGATTCAGCACGATGCTATGGTTTTCTCTTGGATCAACAGTTCGGTTCATCCCACAGTTCTTGCCTCTCTTATTGGTAAGACCAGTTCTCTTTCTGCATGGACTTACTTACGTGACAGGTATGCTTCTCAGTCTACTGGCCGCCTCATCCAATTGCGTAGTGAGCTTATGAATACCCATCGTGGTGATTCCTCTATTGCTGAGTTTCTTGATCGCATTAATTGTCTTGCTGACACTCTCTCCCTCTCTGGTTCTCCTGTGACTGACTATGATCTTGTTGCCATTATTTTAAATAATGTTGGGCCTGCTTATGAAAGTACTGTTGCTTCTGCACAAGCACGGGATGAGGCCATCACTTACAGTGCCTTGGAGGCTCTTCTTCTTGGTGCAGAGAGACGTCAAAAGCTTCATACTATGTTTGAAAATAGGCCCACTGCCCTTGCTACTGGAAGAGGTCGTTCAGGACCTTCCCGTGGTCGCAATGCTCCTCGCGGAGCCCGTGGTCACTTCAATGGCAGCCGTGGCCAGTTTTCTCCTCGTCCTCAAGGCCAAGACCACCATGCTCTTCCACCCCGACAACCCCATGATGGCGTTCTTGGTGCTCCTCCTTCTCCAACCCAATTTGGTGGCCGTATCCAATGCCAAATATGTCGTCGTCACGACCATTCTGCAATCGATTGTTTCAATCGCCTTAATATGGCCTATGAAGGACGTGTTCCTGCTCCACGTCTCCAAGCTTATGCTGCTGCTGCACCGTCTCCAGCATCTGCCTCTCCCTCTGGCATTCAAAACTGGTTTTTTGACTCTGGAGCCAATGCACATATCACCAATGATTTGCATTAGGTTTCGAATCCTCGTCCCTACAATGGCACTGACAATGTTAATGGCGTGGTGGATGGATCAGGTTTGCACATTTCTCATGTTGGAACTTCTTTTCTTCACACACCCAATCACTCATTTACCCTTCCCAACACCCTTCACTGCCCTAATGCTTCTACTAATGTTATTTCCATCAATCAATTTACCAAAGACAACCATTGTTCACTGACCTTATATCCCAATTCCTACCGTGTTTAGGACCTTCAAATGGGGAAGATGCTTTTGCAAGGCCGGAGTAAAAATGGTTTTTATCCATTTTCAAGTTCTTCTGTGGTCAACCATGGAGTCTCTGCATTTGTTGGTGTTAGAGTGTCGGATGCTATTTGGTATTCTAGGTTAGGTCACCCTGCAATTTCTGTTTTGCGTCGTCTAATTTCCCAAAATAAATTACCTTTATCTGGTAATGCAACCTACGACTTTTGTTCATCCTGTCCCCTTGGCAAAAGTCATAAGTTGCCATTTAATTTATCTTCTTCCCAGTCATCATTTCCTTTGAAATTAATACATTCCGATGTATGGATTTCTCCTTCTTATTCAATTAATGGTTACAAGTATTATGTTGTTTTTGTGGATGACTTTTCTCGTTATGCATGGCTCTATCCTTTAAAGTTAAAATCTGATGTTTTTCAAACCTTTGTTCATTTTAAAAAGCTTGCAGAAAATATGTTCAACACCAAAATTAAATTTTTTCAATCTGATGGTGGAGGAGAGTTTGTCAATTCCTCTTTTAAACACTTTTTCTCTCACCATGGCATTCATCATAGACTCAGTTGTCCTCATCATCCCGAGCAAAACGGTCTCGCATAACGCAAACATCGTCATCTTGTTGAAATTGGCTTAACTTTACTTGCTCATGCGTCTCTTCCTCACACTTTCTGGGATGACGCTTTTCAAACTGCAAATTATCTCATTAATCGTCTTCCCACCAAAATCTTGAATGGCGTCTCTCCTTTCCAAAAACTGTTTTCAAAATCACCCCAGTATGATTTTCTCAAAGTATTTGGTTGTGCTTGTTTTCCCTATTTACGTCCATACACTGATACTAAACTTAAGTTTCGATCAAAACAATGCATTTTCTTAGGATACTCATTAAATTATCAAGGTTATAAATGTTATGATCCTACCACTGACAAGTCTTTTCTGTCTCGTCATGTCATTTTCAATGAAAAGAGTTTTCCATATACAGACCTTGCTACTCCGACCTTGTCAAAACCTAGTCAGTTGGACCATGTCCTGGCCATTGGTACCTTCCATTACACCCAACCACGTTCGACCCCACGGACCCCTCCTTCCCTTGTCACCACCTCACCCTCTCACCTGCACCCTACCCCTTCTCTCCCCCACTCCCTACTGCTACCTACCCCGGCCTCCCATACTATCCTTCCATCATCTACCCCAGACTCCCATTCTCACCCACCAACTCCCACTACTCACGTGAATATTGAACCTACCAACACCACTTCTCACACTGTTCCATCCACTCATCCCATGATCGCACGTGGTTAACAAGGAATTCGAAAACCAAATCCCAGATATGCTTGCATCACTACTGTTACTAATACTTTGGTTGAGCCCACATGTTTCTCCCAGGCCAATAAGTCTCCCCAATGGCGCCAAGCAATGGCAGATGAATTCAACGCTTTACAGCGTACCGGCACTTGGACTTTGGTACCCTACAAGTCTTCTATGAATGTGTTACCAAATAAATGGGTGTATCACATAAAAAAGAACTCTGATGGTTCCATCGAGCGTTTTAAAGCTAGACTAGTTGCCAATGGCTTTCATCAGCAAGAAGGCATTGATTTCTGCGAAACCTTCAGTCCGGTGGTCACCCATGCCACCATTCGGCTCATTCTCTCTATTGCTCTTCACTTTCAGTGGCCTATCCGCCAGCTTGATGTTCAAAATGCCTTCCTTCATGGCACCTTGACTAAGGAAGTTTATATGCGCCAACCTGTAGGGTTCATTGATCCACAGTTTCCCTCTCATGTGTGTCGATTTCGACGGTCCCTATACAGTTTGAAACAAGCACCCCGTGCTTGGTTTCAATGTTTTTCCCAGAAACTAAAAGACTTGGGCTTCACTGCTTCCCAAGCTGACTCGTCTCTCTTCACCTATTTTGATGGCTCAACAATCATTTATCTTCTTATCTATGTGGATGACATTTTAATCACAGGGAATAAAAATGCTCACTTGTCTCAGTTTATCATGCAGCTTGGTACTCATTTTGCAATGAAAGATCTTGGGCCCTTACATTACTTCTTGGGGATGGAGGTTTCCCG